TACTTGTCCCCCTGCTACCTGTATTGCTTGCCCCCATCATTCCCACCACTACTACTACGACGACTACTACTAGTACTATTATCACTACGACTACTGCCCATACGAGGTCTACTGCTACTACTTCGATTGCTACTATTTTTACCCCGCTACTACCATTATTGCTATTATTATTTCTATTAATACTACGACTACCACTATTGCTACCACGATGCTATTACTATTTACTACGACTACCACTATTGCTACTACTAATACTCCGCTACTAACACTACGACTACTACGATTACTATTACGATTGCTACCAATATTACTACTACGACCACTATTACGACTACGACTACTACGACTATTACTACCACTACTATTACTATTACTAGTACTATTACTACTAACCCGACTACTACCCCCACGACGACTACTTTTAGTACCGAACTCATTTTTTACCAGTACTATTATCACGACTGTTACTATTACTACAACTACTACTACGACAACTAAGACGACTACTACGACCACTACTATCACTACCGTTACCAGTACTACTAGTACTAGTACTACTACTACTACTACTACTACTACTACTACTACTACTACTACTACTACTACTACTTTTACTACTACTACTACATCTACTACAACTGCCACTACTACTACTACTACTACTACTACTACTACTACTACTACTACGACTACTACTACTACTAGTACTACTACACTACTACTACTACTACTACTCTTACTACTACTACTACTACTACTACTACTACTACTACTACTACTACTACTACTACTAGTGGTACTATTGTTACTACTACGAGGATGACGACGAGTAGTAGTAGTAGTAGTAGTAGTAGTAGTAGTAGTAGTAGTAGTAGTAGTAGTAGTATCACGTTTTTAGCACTACTACGACTACGAATACGTCTACGACTAATACATCAACTATTACTACGACTACTACTACTACTACTACTACTACTTCTACTTCTACTTCTACTTCTACTATTACTATTACTGTTCGCACTACTACTGCTATTCTCAGTGCTACCACTACTTCATCTCACTACGATGACGGCGAAGACAACGACGGCGACGACGATTAGCACTACGACTCCCAACAATATTTGTGTTATTACCACGACGACTACCATGACTACGACCAGTAAGACAACTTCTACAACGATCTTTTCGACTACCCCAATGTACGTCCGTCTCCGCGGGCTCTGGGGACAGCTGAGTGCGAGGCGCGCCACTGGACCGGACAGAAGTAGCTAGTAGAACTGCCGGAGACCGCTGCGGGGTGAAAGCCTGCACGGGCGGGGCTTGCATTGGCGAGGCATTCAGTGGCGCAGAACGCTGCGGACGGAGGCTCTGGGTCAGCGCCCGCGCAGCCGGCCTCGTGCGCTTGGCGAACCTTGGCTGGCGGCTTATCGTCATCTTCCCCCTCGCGCACCCGCCTTGATGCCGAGGGAGTGCCACGCCCGCCACGCCCTGCGACCGTGGCGCGGATAGAGACCGCGCGGGACCACCCCCTGCGCTCCCCGTCTGGTGTTGGGGGAATGCCACGTCCGCCGCGCCCTGCGACCGTGGCGCGGATAGAAACCGCGGTGAGGCACCACCCCTCTGCGCAACCCCTCTGGTGTCGATGCCACGCCCGCCACGCCCTGCAACCGTGGCGCGGATAGAACCGCGCTCAGGGACCACCCCGTGTGCACACCCTGTCACGTCGAGGACATTCCACGCCGACCATGTTTTGCAATCCTGGCGTGACTAGTACCTGCGTTCAAGGACCAGCCCCTACGCACCTCTTCGGGTGTCCAGGAAATGTTACCCTGCCACCCCCCGCGTCCCTGGCGTGGAACGAGACCGCGCTCGGAAACCACCCCTCTGGGGGCCCCCCGTCTGTTGTCGATGCCACGCCCGCCACGCCCTGCAACCGTTGCGCGGATAACTAGGGACCTCGCACAGGGACCACCCCCTGCGCGCACCCTCTGGTGTCGAGGGAATGCCACGCCAGCCATGCCCTGCGACCCTGGCGTGGATAGAGACCGCGGTCAGGCCGCCCCCTGCGCACCCCGTCTGGTGTGGAGGCCACGCTTGCCATGCCGTGACACCCTGGCGTGGATAAAGGCCGCGTTCAGTACCTTTCCTGCGCTCCCCCTCTGGTGTTGGGGGAAACCACGCCCGCCACGCCCTGCGACCCCGGCGTGGGTAGAGACCGCCCAGGAACCACCCCCACCGCATTTTTTGTAGTGTCGAGGAAGTACCACGACTGCATTGTTTTGCGAGCCTGCATCGGATAGGGGGGCCACATTGGGCGCACGCCGTTATGGTGTCGAGGAAGTGCCACGCCTGCCACGCGCTGCGAGCCCGCAGCGGATACGCCCCCCCCCCCCCTTCGCACCCCTTGCGGTGTCTACGAAATGCCACGCTTGGAACGCTGCCCACAGCGGCAATACTCCTGCCACGATTGGCGAGCCCGCAACGGATAAGGGGACCACCTGCTGCGCCCCCCCTCTTCTGTCGAGAACATGCCGCGTCTGCCGCGCTTTTTGAGCGCGTCACAGATACAGGCTGCGCCCAGGGACCAACCCCATGCGCCCCACCCTCTGGTGTGGAGGACATGCCACGCCTGCAACGCCTTGCGAGCGTGTCGCATATAGCGGCCGCGCTCAGGGACCACCGGGAACACACCCCCTGCAAGGTTGAGAACATGCAACGCGTGCGACGCCCTGCTCGCCCGTCACGGATAGAGGCCGCGCTCAGGGACAACCCCTTGCGCCCCCTGTTCGATGTCGCGGAAATGCCACGCCTGCCACGTTTTGCGAGCGGGTCACAGATAGCGGCCGCGCTCAGGGCCCACCCCCTGCGCACTCCCTCTGGTGTCAAGGACATGCCACACCTGCCACGTCATGCGAACTCTGCGCGTTTGTTTCGTGTCATGCGCGTGTCATGTCAATGACTAGGTATGCGTAGTTGTGTGTGTGTGTCTGATGTCTGTGTATGGTGTGTGTGAGTGTGTGCGTGTGTTCGGCTGTAAACTGGACATCTACATGTGTGTATGTATGATGTGCGCGCGTGTGTGTTTTAGGAAGGTGTGCGTATGTCAGTTGCGTTTACGAATGAGGAGGAAGAGTGGCGAAGAGGGAAGGTGTGAGATGCGGGTGCGGCGCGGGTGAGGAGAAAACCACATCCCCACTTAGCAGCGTGGGCTTGGAAACCAAAACCCCACTAAGCATGTGGGTCTCGTGTAGGGGGCCGTGTACGTGTTGCATGCGACACGGGTGGGAGGAGAACCAGAACCCCGTAGGCATGCGGGTATCATGCAGGGGGCCGTGTGTATGTGTGTGTTTCGCATGCGCCTAGGGCGTGTGATGCGTGAGGGAGAGATGTGTGCGTGTGTGTGTGTGTGTGTGTGTGTGTGTGTGTGTGTGTGTGTGTGTGTGTGTGTGTGTGTGTGTGTGTGTGTGTGTGTGTGTGTGTGTGTGTGTGTGTGTGTGTGTGTGTGTGTGTGTGTGTGTGTGTGTGTGTGTGTGTGTGTGTGTGTGTGTGTGTGTGTGTGTGTGTGTGTGTGTGTGTGTGTGTGTGTGGTGTGTGTGTGGGGGGGGGGGGGGGGGGCTCCATGTAGACGCGCATGTGTTGCGCGCGGGAGAGAGGACAAGGAGGAGGAAAGAGGGGAAAGAGGGAGGGCGCGGGTGTGAGACGCACGTTGGGCGCGGGTGGGAAGAGCACCAGAACCCCGCGAAGCATGCGGGGAAAGACGTAGCCGCTCTGCTGCTGCTCCGCACGCCGGCGCAGGCGCCCCCGTGGCCGCAGGAGGCGCGCTCGCTCCTGGGGCTCCTGGCAGCCCTCGCTCCCCATCGGCCGCTGGGGCTCCCGGTCGTTCGGCGCTCGGCCGCTGAGGGACCCGCCCGCGACCCACCCCGCGACCCACCTGCGACCCACCCGCGACCCACCCGCAGTCCGCTTACCAGCTTGACAAGTTCCCCTGCCCCTCATGTTTGGCCTTGCCTTGCCTCGGCGCCGGTCTTCGAGGATCCCCTCGTGCCTGTGAGAGGGCACACCACTCAGATTGTCATCGCCCTGGGCTTGCCGATCTCAGGGGCAGGGATAAGTTCGAGGCTCGTTGCCCGCCCATTTGTCCTTGACGAAGATTCGGCGCCAACGACGGGCTCGTTGTGCACTGAGCTAGAAGATCGGCGCCTGCGGTAGGCTTCATCAGAGCCTCGCAGAGCTCCGACCGACGACCCCGCCGCCCCCTTTATTTGATCCACATCTGCGGTGGTTATGGCATCGTGAACTTATTGGCTGGCTTTGGCGACTGGTGCCGCCATTACTGATGGAATCAACCGACTCTCTGAACTGTGCAATGCTGGGCTCGTGCAGCAGGTTTCATCATCACCCGCTGAGCCGTCCTTCTGCTCAGGTATGGACAGGTGTGGGACACTGGTATCTTCTGCGCCTGTGTCACATCGTCCGATGACGAAGTTTTTCATCCAAGGCGCACCTCTCAATAGGTTTGTGTTCTCGGGCACCGCGACTGAGCTTGACGATGGCCAAGTTCTGCCAGCGTTTCCAGCAGCGACCTGACGCTGCTCTTCTGAGCCCCATGTAACATGGAAGCCGGCGTTGCCAACCTTCTTTTGTTGAGTGGCTGGGCAGCTCCCAGCCTTTCTCATTTCATGGCATCGTTCGGTACCAAATCATGGCAGCCCTGTGTACCCTCGTAAGTATGTCTTTAGCGTCGACTAGCGTCGTTGAGCGTCTGGGAGTCGATGAGATAGCGCCGATTTAGCGCCGGCTAGCGTCGATTCACGTCGAATCAGCGTGGATCAGCACCGATTCAGCGTCGACTAGCGTCGATTCACAAGAGCTGACAAGATGGCATGGGAGGCTCCCAGGAGCTGCCACCGAAGCATCGTGAGCTTCCTCGTCACGTCGCTGCTCATCTAAAAGGGGAGGAATGCGGGGGGGCCTCGCCCGCCCCGTGCGGGCGCGCGGAGGTGCGCTGCTCGACAAGGTGACGATGGAGAAGGGCAAGGCCGACAAGAAGGCGGAGCAGGCGGGGCCCAAGGGACCGAAGAATACAACAACGCCATAACCAGAAACCGTTTGGCGCTCCGCGCGGACTTCTTGGCTCTGCGCTGGGCCCGCCCCCGGCGGCGCCTCCGGCGCCGCCCCTGTCGCGCGGAGCGCCAGGGAGGGTGCTTCAGCGCCGATCCAAGAAGTCCGCGCGGAGCGCGAAAAGTCTATGTGTTGTTTGTGGCGTTTCTTGGTTCTTCGTCTTCTTCGTCTTCTTCTTCTTCTTCTGCTTCTTCTTATGTTTATCATTTTTATTATTATTCGTCTTCTTCTTCTGTTTCTGGGTTTTCTTCTTATTCTGATTATTATTTCTTGGTTCGGGGTCTTCTTCGTCTGCTTATTATGCTTATTCTTCCTCTTCTTCTTCTTATAATTGTTAGTACTATTCTTCTTCTTCTTCTTCTTCTTCCTCTGGGGAAGGGCTCGGGGCAGGGCCGGGGAGAGGAGGCCGCCGCAGCCGGTGCCTCCTGCTGCGGGCTGCCTCGGATCGGCGGCGAGCGGGGGGGGGGGGAAAGGTCAGGAGGGAAAAAAACACACAGAGACAATGGATCGTCGATCCCCCGGAAAATGTGGGAAAATATGGGGAGTGGGGGGGAAGACAGAAACCCAGAAAATCTGGGAAAATATGGGGCATGTTTTTATGTGTGTGTATTTATTTGTGTGTCCTGGGGCCCCTTCAAAAGGAGAAGGAGAGGGCCTCCCCAGAAGGCGGCGGGACTTCGCAGACGCCCTCGCGCCTTCTGAGAGATGTTTGTCGTGTCTTCGGGGAAGGCTCATAGTATTTCTCAGGTGACCAGGAAATGTCCGAGCCTTCCGAGAAGGCTCGGGCGAAGGGAACTATGCACATGCACCGATCTTGGCAAGGCCCATCCTTGACCCAGGATCGGTGCATATACCTTCCTAGCCCAGGTAGGAGGGCGTATGCACCGATCCTGGGCTCAGGGTAGGCCTGGCCAGAATCGGTGTATGTGCATAGTGGAGGAGGACGATTAATAAATGACGGGGGGTCGTGTTCACGCGGCGGCGCCCGGGATGACGATTCGAAAAAAACCGGCCGCGGGCTGGAAAACTATTTTTAAATCGTTCTCCTCCAGTCAGAAGGTTGTGCCGAAATAACCGAAAACTATGTTTGTTAATCGTTCTCTCCCATTTTTTATTAATCGTCATCCCGCATTAGTTTTCGTTCCTCTAAAGGCCCGCCACTTCTCACTTCCCCCCCTCCGGGCGCGCCGCCTGTTGGAGCAGGCCCCCCGCCCCGAGGGCACCCTCCGGCTTCTCTGGGCTCCGTGGGCACCGGGTGTGGGTGACCCTGCCTGCGATGGTGTGCACTCTTCGGGGGCAACGATAGGGGGGGGACAGGCACAGGGGGGGATGCATCGATCCCCAATCGCCCATTGATCGCCGATAGGGGCCAGACAGCCCCAACCTGCCCAGGAAGGTGCGGATTTTCGCTGTCGGAGGCCTATCGCCGATCTATAGGCGATGTGTCGCCGATTCCAGGTCGATGCATCCCCCCCCTGTGCCAGTCCCCCCCTGTCGGTGCCCCTCAACTCTTGTGAGGTGTGAGTCTCCCATCGCGTCTCGTGCGGTGGAGAGGCCGGGTGTCGGCTCGATGATCACTTCCCTGGGCCCTCCGAGAACCCTCCAGCCCCCGTCCGAGACAGGCGTCGAGGCATCGGCTCTCGGCCACGGGAGCGGGCAAACACTCCAAGAGGGGCAAGAGTCCGGCATCGTTTTGTCTGTTCCGCTTCGGGCGCTGCGCAATGGGGGATCCTAAATGGGGGGGCGGCGAGTGTGGTCCGAAAAGGTAC